AGGAGCCAAAGGCAATTGTTCTCTATACTGCAGTTGTACATTGTTTACTCTCTCTGCCTCTGTCACACACACACACACACACACACACACACACACGCACGCACAGAGAGAGAGAGAGAGAGAGAGAGAGAACATCATGATATACCAGTGAATGGATGAATTACAAAAAAGAAGGAAATCAGTCTTCTGAAAAATGGGGAAAGTATATTAGCACCCTACAGTAATAGTACTGGCACTAACCAGGGTATTTGTGTGATAAACTTATTATATGCATATGTCGGTGAAGTGAAGTTTTGAAAGGGTGAAGTTTTAGCAGTAGTTAGATTTCTATAAGAGAGAGAGTATGATAGTATAGTGAATTATTTGCTCTCTCCATTATCATAATGACTGTATAGGTGCCCACCCATCCTTTGAATAGTATAGTGGGTGGGAACTATATACCAAAAAAATTGAAGGTAGCAGGACAAATTAAACTTGATGTATAATTATATTACATGAATAATATAATTTATAATTCAAACTTAGCTTTGTTCTTGTGTATCTGTGTTTGTGTGCGCATGTGTATGTATGTGTATTAGCCAAAGTATATAAAAATAATTGAATTAAAAATTACTGATTAAAATTAATTATTTGTAAACTAAGGTACACTGTTTATAATACTGATTGATCCCCATCAATTATCCTGTCTTATGCACACATTCTCACACACAGACACACTATACAAACATATAGTCCTTTCCCCGCCCCCCCGCCTCCCAAAAAAAGGAATCAGCTAAAAAAGGAGAAAAACAGGCTGGAAGGGAAGTGATGTTCATACTAGTAAAGGACAGAAAGAAAAAAGAAAGAGCAAATTGAATGAAAATGAAACAATACGAAGTGATAACAGAACAGCTAAGGAAAAAAAAGACATCTGGAGAGAAAAGTAGAGCTTATAAGAATTAAAGCATTCATTAGATTAAACAAAGAGAGATGGGTCCTATCCTTGTACACTTTAGTGTGTTACTCTTTGCATATGCCTTACCACACTGTATAAAATTGAGTTCTTTTTGTTTACAGAACCCTCTTTTCCTAAATATCCCTAATTGCATGTCTCATCAATTCATTTATTTTGGTGCAGTTTCCCTCTTCATTAAAACTTTTCTATTTTTCATATACACAATTCTCATTTTATTTATTCCAACAATTCCTACATATGTCCCATCCAAGTTGGATAGAACAGATAGTGTTGAACCTTATGATAGGGGTATATTGTATTGGTATATATTACAAAAAGCCGTTCTCTTTCCTTTTTCTTTCCTTCTTTATTTCTCTTGAGGAAGGTTGTTTATTTGGGTTTCAGTTGCTACAAATATTGTTTCTCATTGCTTCCTAGACTATATTTTACACCTTCTCCTAAATTGATGTAACCCACATTTATAGAGGTATATACAAGAAAGACTGTGGTGTGTTTTTTTACATCATCTATATAAAATATTGATAATTATGTTTCTAATTGCACTGGGTAATTAATTAAGTAGAAAATTTATGCATCTCTAGGGATCTGTAAAATGCCAGCTCAGAAACAGAATCAAAGTTCTTCAACATTTGTGAAGGAAATAGGAGTTATTTGCATACCAGTAGGAGGAACAAAGGCTTCTTTTAAGTTGAGCTGAAGAAGAAACAAATATTATCCCAAGGAAAGCAATAGGCATTTTGAATAGAATGTAGCCATTGTGATTGCTTCTTAGAGAACATTACTTTCTATCTAAAATTCAGTATGAGCCTCATGGGAGTTTGGAATTCATATTTGTGGAAAGTGAAAGGAACAGTATTTGCAGAAATCCTACTGATAAGTTTTTCTCTTATAAAATAAGTATTTTTCAGCCATAAAATAAAAATGCCTTTCTGAACTAACAGGTCTGTATCCAGCGTATCACTAGAGACTTTACTTATATTTTAAAAACTTCATCCATTTCCCAGATGTTCTCTCTAATCTACAATTTCTTCCAAACATGAGTATTCTTCTACCACTGCTCTTGTGTGGATGTATTTCTCAGATCTTTCTCCTTTTTTGAACAAGAGAATATGTTTAATTATGTTAGATCCTGTTTTTCAGCCTGTAAAAACTTTGCAAAAACAAAGAGCTTGCATTATCCCAGTTTTTAAAATGTAGTTATAGTTTATGACTATCTTCGTAAGACATTTATTTAGCCTTTTCAGACTAATATTTCTAAAATGTGAGAAGGGATGATGATGATGACGATGACAACAACAACAATAATAATAATAATAATAATAATAATAATAATGGCAGAGGCCTCTTATAGGTGAAACAAACTGTGGAAGAGGAAAAACAGCTTAAATGACTACATAAAAAGTAAAAGAGTCTCTGCTGAAGGAGGTGAACAAGGGAAACCTCTTGAAAACAACAAGACTGAAAGCAGAATATTGAAAGAAAACCAATTGAGTATCAAGTTTCTAACAGTCAATATCTGAAGGACATTGAAGGAAAGGTAGATACAGAGCTAACATGGAACTGGTTGAGATCAGGAGTGCTGAAGAAAGAAGCTGAGGGCTTCATCTTGGCTGGTCAAGAACAAGCCTTGCTGACCAATTCCATGAAAGCAAAAATTCAACATGGCAGCAACAACAGCAAATATCACTTATGCAACAAGAAAGATGAAAGAGTGGATCACCTTATCAGTGGCTGCAGCAAAATCTCACAGACTGATATCTACAATGTCATGATCAAGCTGCCAAAATTATACAATGGAAGCTTTGTCAGAAGTTTGGGTTTGAATGCAGCAAAAATTACCTTACAAAAGTTCTTGAAAATGAGCAAGACAAGATCCTGTGGGACTTTCTGATCCAAACAGAGACATCTGGCCCACAACATGCCTGACATCACTATTGTAGAAAAGAAAAATGTCTGTTTCATTCATATTACAATGCCAAGTGATGCATGAATTGAAGAGAAACAGCTAGAAAAAATAAAAAAATATTGTGATTTGTAAACTGAACCTGAACGATTGTGGAGGAAGAAATCAATGGTTGTACCAATAGTAATAGGAGCCATTGGAACAATACCCAAAAGGCTGCCTAGATACATGGAAATTTTGAAATTATTAGACCTGAATATCCTGACTTTGCACAAAACCACCCTACTCAAGCAAGCTAGAAAATGAAGAAAGAAGAGAAACTGAAGAACAAGACCAAAAAATATCTGGTCAAGAAATATAACTTAGAAACAAGGAAGATTAAGGAGCACTGGAAATAACAAAGCAGCATAATATAGACAAGAAGATCAATGGATACAAAGCTTGAATTTGCACATTACAGGCAGAATCTCCAATTTCAGTTAAATCAGAAACATTTCTGCTAATCCATCAATGGAGAGACTAGAGTGAACCAGCCGGCATCTGACAAAGAAGAAACAGTATTGTTCTGAGCACAAGAACAATACAACAAGGATGCAGCTTGGATAGAGGAGTTGTTAAGAATAAAAAAGAAGCTGAAATGAAATGCAGGATATTGCGACCATTGTAAATGGATTATATTGGATGCAATAAATATGTCCATTATTTTGAGAGATATCTAGATGGCAATGTGACTCATTGTATCAGAGGTCAGCTAAAAGAGAGCCCATTAAATTTCAGTGCACACTAATGATGGTATAAAAATGCTTTTTCAATAAATCATAACAATAAGATGTAACAATTAAAAAAAACCCTGGATTTCATCATCTGTAATGGGCAGTAAGGAATAACCTGAACAGGAGGAACTATCCCAACCAAGGCAATGATCAGATAAAAGGCATCTGAATGCATTTCTGTATTTCAGATATGTCCCCCTAGTTATCATGAAACTAAAGAGAGGGAGGGAGGAAGCAAATTCAGATGCACAAGATTCTGTTGATGTAACCTCACAATAAAGTAATATTAGCATTCATATCATAAGTCTGATCTACCTTGATGTGTTGATGTCATCCTTTAGGTTAGAGAAGGTGATCATTTAAATAACAAATCATGACAAGTTCTAATTTAATTTGCTTAACAATAATTGCTGAAAATATAACAATTTGGCATTCTTAATCTTGGGTGCAAAAATTCATGCTGTGAAGTCAAACTATAAAATTTAAGTCAGAATAAAGATGCTATACAGCATTCTGACATACAATTTATTCAGAGGGGCTATCACATAAGCTGTTTTCTGAGAAAATGTCTGTTGAGGAAAAGTTGTAAAAGGATCAAATGGACTTCTATCCATATTTTCATGAAATACAGCAAATCAATATATATCTACTACTTGGCTTTAACTGCATTAGACATACAGTTTCTCAGACAATTTGCAAGTTTCTTCTCCTGATTTGCTATTAAAATATTTAACTGAAGTGATTTTTTTCCTTATTTAAGACTGCTACCTTTTTTACAGCGCAACAAAAAAAATTAAATTATTTTTTATATAGTAATTTATTATTCTTGAAATAGGAAGTCAATCCTATTTCTAGTTTAGGGAAGTTAGACCCCATTAAACTCACTACATAAAAGTGTTTTATGGTACTTTTAACTGATACTCCAATTGACAAATGTATAATTTTTATGGGAGTTGCTTATAAAGATAAGTTATGGTTTATTTAACTATGACTATGGAATAAACCATACATTCCTGGGTTCATACAAACATTGCAAACTAAAAACAAGCAAAACACATTATGTTTTAGCATGATGTCAAATTAGAGTGAGCTATCTTCCTAGAAATTAGTGGGGAAGAACGATTTCAAAAAGGTTGACTACATTTAATCGTATTTATTCATTTATATCTAGATGGTGTTCCCAGTTATGTGGCAATATTAGCTAACTATGGCTGATTTTAAAAAAATCTCAGAAGGATCAAACTTTATTAGTGCTGGGTGCAAACAAACCAGGAATCTCAGTAGGTTAGACTACACACATACCCTTGATTAATAGAAGCAGAATAAATTATGCCACAGCCTAATGTTTTCTGAATGGCTACTTCTGTAGGTTTGGAGAGGTACATTAGCTCGACTCCAATACAAGAGGACCCGAGCTGCCCTCAAGATTTTAAAATGTTACCGTCGATACAAAGTGAAGTCTTATATCTGTGAGGTTGCCCGACGATTTCAAAATGTGAAGTCTATGAAAGATTATGGGAAGCATGTGAAATGGCCTAATCCTCCAAAGGTTTTGCGACGGTTTGAAGAAGCTCTACATGCAATCTATTACAGGTAAGAAATGGAAACAATCCAACAAGATGCCATCCAGCATCTTCAGCATCTCTCTGTGGAGTTATCTTTGTAGATTGAATAGTAGAGATGCTACTTCAGGAAGCATCAACCACAGAAAGAATACCATTGTACATTTCTAATGACATGAGTCAACTGAACATCTTTTCTGAATGAAAATACTCATATTGATGGATAATTTTGAATTTTTGTTTCACAATCCTTGCCTTATGTCAAAGTCCTGTATGACTTCTTAATTTTTTTCTCAGATGGAGAGCACATGAACTAATTAAAAGTATCCCACCCAAAGATTTGCCACAAATCAAGGCAAAAGTGGCAGCATTGGAGTTGCTTAAGGGCCATCGAGGGGATATTGGATTGCAAAGGGTCTGGCAGGGCAACTACCTTGCATTGGTAAATATAATAGAACCTGTCAAAATTCAGTCATTATTTCTTGCAATACTACAAAAATGAAAACATAGATAAATAGTGAACTATTTGCAGTTCTTGCTAGATAAATTAATAATTTATTAAATTAATTAACATGTGAAATTCCTGCCAGACAAAATAGTGGTAATATTGTTCAGTAGGTAAGCTAATCTGGTCTTCTAGTCTAAACTGAACTCCTGAAAATTCAAGTTTGGCCTCCATATTCCAACTGTACTTGAAAATTTGTGGAATCTTCTCCAAAAGTTTTGAGCCAGTGGATATGTTTGGAAATTTAAAATCATATTACAGACACTCTTGCAATATTAATGTCAGCAGTAGGTTTAGCCAATTAAAAAAATCTATATACCAAGATAAAAGCCTGTGTTGGAATTTTTCTGTATGCCCCTATGTCTCTTTAATTTTTTTAATCAGACAGTTATGGGAGAAATAAGAATAATTGAAATAGCAACAACAACAACAAATTGTGGTGCCTACTGTCTACAACAGCAGTCCCCCATATGATTATCCCCCGATAATGTTCAGAAAGTCACTGAAAATTTTGACTATTTTCCTGGCTTTGGGGCATGGGAGTAGGAAAGCTAATCTAGGTGTATTCTATTCTAAACTGAACTCCTGAAAATTATAGGATGCTGTGCTTATTGTAGAGAGTTTGCCTTTTGGACACCTATGTCCATCTCAATTTTATTTCTTGACTTTTTAAACTTAAGCAAACGGAGAACAATAGCTACATTTATTAGTAATGTATATTTGATTTGGAATACTAAAGGTGCTCTGGACTTGTTTTAATAATAGATAAATTTATTGTTTCTTTAAGAATCCTGGTAATTCTCAGGCTACAGGTTCATTCACCTCTGTTATTTCTGAGTTGCAACGCAAGGATAAGTTCATGAAGATTCTTTTTTCATCTCAAGTTCGTAAGGTAAGCTGGAGAAAATTGGAAAAAATCCTCCGAAACACTGAGTGTTTTGGATCAAAAGTAGGCTTCAGGGGAAAATAATTTTTTTATGGTTGGCAGAAATAATATAGGAAGTATTTGTTAGCCCAATAGTAAGTTAGTTCAATGGTGATGGCCTTCTGGGTAATTAGGCCATAGTTTAATTATTTGGTGTCCTGACATTTCACCAGCCAATGTGGCTGGTACCTTCAGAGTTGAAAGTGCTCTGTAGTGCATTTAACTCTCTCCGAGTTCTCTTTATTCTCTGCACAACCATGATTTCCATCAGCCCTATTGTTTGCTTTGCTCATTCGTGTCTTCTAGAGCGCTCGGTTTCAGAATGTATTCTGCCATATAAATTGTTTGATGAAAATAGCCTCCTTTTGTTCTTTTCATGAATTCTAAAGCCAGTCTCTATTATTTTTCTTATCATAAAGTTCTTTCTATGACTTTAGTTTTTTCAGGAATTTATCTTTCCCCTATATTTTTGCTCACTGTCTGTATGAAAAACAAGCTCATGTTTGTTGTAATGTAACATGCAAAACATAGGTGCAGATTCTCTAAATTCATTATAGATACACATTGTGTTACTGCTAGTCAGCTGTTTCTGGTGTGTATCCTTGTGTATTTGTCACAAGCTTTTCTGTGCCTTATGTATTTGTTTTGGATAAATTGCGGGTGTATCATTTGGAACATGTTGATAGTACAAACCACTTGTATAACAACAGTGATATTTGCAGCTAGTTTGTTCTGAACATAGACTATGCTAACAGCAATTATCAGAAGACTAGAAAAGGATTAGTTGCCAAGGGAGTGGAATGGTGAAATGAAAAGCCTAATATGGAAGTCTAGCTATTTTGGTGCACCTGGGTGGTGAAGCAATAAGGAGAAATTATGGCTCTGGGGCAGGGTTGGCAGGAATCTGTGCAGTCTGTTGATGTACTGAGTGCTCTAGCACTAGTATATCATGATTTTTGGCAAGCTTAAACAATATCTCAATTTAAAAGCTCTCAGATAATATAATTTGTATAGCCTTTTACTAAAAACCTTCAGAAAAACTTTTAAATAAGAGTGTAGAGTACTAAGATAAAAAGATTCTTTGAATAAGATAGCTGTAGGATTCTTTATTTTATTAAAACATTGGCCCATTAATGTCCTGAGATCATTTTGAAGTAATTTCATCAGTAATCTACTTGTGTAGCTTCATTTGTCCTATAACATTTGATAATTTCTCAAATAATATTTGGAATCTTTTTCTGTTCTCCCCTTGCTACTACTGAACTTTTCCACAAGGCCCTGCAAAACAATGATCAGTATTAATAATCTTTATTTTTTGAAGTCATATTCAGTATGCTCCCTCTGCACAAGCATATTATATTACCCAGCATGTTGTAATTCACGTAATGGTAATAACAATAAATCAGGCATTCTAAAATTAATATCTGTACCTAGCCTTATTACTGTATGTATATTTTTCTCAGCTTTGTTCCAGGATAGTTGGTTGTATCTTGAAGAATTTCCTTGCTAAGTTTGTGCGTCTGTGCAAAATCAGGCAAAATTTTGCACTGAAACGAAAACATAGCATTTAATAGTCTTGGATTCTTCATGTCCCCCTTTTGTCCAATATTTTGGGAAAGAACTGCTGCTGTATTCAAAATCTCCAATAAAGATGTAATAGAATAGATCATTTGAACATAAACTTTCTTCTTCAGTACAAAGGACAGCTCCTTGTATACAAGGTGGGATGCTGGTATTACAAGAAATTGTGAAGTCCTTGTTTTCTTGGAGGCCTGTGTGATCATTGGTCATTAAATATGATCAATAACTTGATATGATTCAAGTGATAACAATCCAGAGCAAAATAAAAACAATACCAATAATTACTTGCATGACTCTGCACAAAGTAAGAATTCCTTAGTCCAACTAATTAATAGATGCTTTTCATGTTACCTCTAACATATTAAATTCTGAAGTTCTTGATATGAACATAATGAGTTGTTTGAAAAAGGAAATCAGGGACTGCCCCATCATGTTCACTTAATTAATGTAATATGCAAAAGTTACATCCTAGTAACCTAGTGTCTGTGTCTCTCTGTGTAAATATTTGCTCATTGAATTAGAGGTAAATTCTTGAAGGTTAGATTAAATGGATCCTTGACAATATTGCTAACATCAATGCTACAAAATTTGATCAGGGACCAAAAATCAAAGATGATTCAGTTAAATGCATCATATAGGCATGGACAAGACTGGAAAAATAGAAATTTATATTCCAGTCACAAAATGGGGCGGTGCTAAAGAATGCTCAGACCTTATAGTTCAACTTATTTTCCACTTGAATTAGGATAATTGTTAAGATTTTGCTATTTGTACTTCAGTAGCACATGGAAAAACAAACTATATTCAGAAGAGACATAGGACAGTCTTCCCATTTATATATCTGATTTTTTAAAAAAAAAATACTAATCCATTCTTTCAATTCAATCTTAGGGAATTTCTCCATTTCCACCACTGGTGTTAAAGGAGAAATTCCTGGCATTAACCAATATCTCCATTTATTCCATAATTCTATCAATTTTTTTAAAAAGGGATTTTGAATCCTCTTAACAATTTTTTAACATCCTTTTTGAACCAATATGTTTCTATAAGATCACCTATTTCCCTTAATTCCTTCAACTCTATATCGGTCCATTATAAATATATAATAGGTCAACAGCCTTTTTTTGTTTACCACAGTACATATGATAGTCGCTATTGTAATCTTGACTTTTTTAGATCTTTTTAATAGGCATATTTGTTCTTTATTAATAAAATATATTTATAAAATAAAAATAAACTGTTCACTAGGAGCACTTACAGGAGCAGTTAAGGTTGGATGTTTTGGACAAGCAGTGCACAGGCAGCAGTCATTGAAAAAGACTTGGCTCCCAAAGTTTTTCCAAAAACTTTGGGAGCCAAGTGAAAAAGAGTCTAACAGAAAAAAAAGACTCTGATAAAAAATAAAGTAGCCAGATATCCTAATTGTTTACATAAGCATTGACTTACAAGAGCTCAAAGAAACAATTACTAAGACAATTCTGGCAAATTTGTGTCCTTTGTGCCACAAAAAATTGGAAGTGACTAAATGACTAAAGCAACAGTAATTTTCAGGAAATGAGTAGCATGTAACAGTAATGTGAATGAAAGGTAGAAGTGGAAGAGGAGTGGGCAAAAGCAAGATAAAACAAAACCACAGAGATTTGAGTAAGTTATCTTTAATGTTAGCTGAGGATAACTCTTGGAAATTGTAATGGGAAAAGAAAATATCTTCCTTAGCTTCAAGTACAAAGTAGCTGCAGACCACAGCAATTTTCCAGAACAGGAACTAGTTACCATAATTAGTTACCAATATCAGACATCCAATAGTGGATCAAGAACATGAAGAGCTAGACAGCACCTGACCTGAACATGATCCATGCCTGCTGGCTAAAGAAACTGACCCTTAGCAGCATAGACAAACCAGATGCTAGCAGCAGGATTTCAGCCAAACCGGCCAACACAAAGAAAGATAGTGCTCATCATGAAAGACCCCCCATAGGGGAAGAGCACTATCCAACTTGACAATAACCTGCTTCCCCACAACATGGAAAATCCTATCAGACATCATAACTATCCAGTTTTTTGCTGCAATTATTAAGCAAATCATTGCAATATTTAAGCAAACCATGGGGTCATTAAGTGAACTTGCTTTCCTCTTTTACTTTGTCCAAAGCCCTCTGGGAAGGTCGCAAATGGTGATCACATGATCCTGGGGAATTGCGACTATTGTAAATACATGATGGTTGCTAAGCATTTCAATTTTGTCCATATAGCCTTGGGGATGCTGCAGCAGTTTTAAGTTGAGGACTTATTTTCACATCATCATAACTTCAGTCATTAAATGAATGGTCATAAGTTGAGAACTACCTATGAGGAATTATTCTTGTGATGTCCAGCAGAGATAGTATATGCAGCCTGGTCAAATTTAATTTCAAAATTGTGATGGAGGAGAGATAGAAAATGGCATGACCCATTTCAAAAGATCTCACAAGCTGTGTGGCTGGGAACCAATCTTGTTTGATATGAAGGTTGTTTGTCTCAGATACACTGGTTAAAAATACTTCTGGTGTTTTTGAAATTTAATTTAATGGATAGAGGCTTTCTGGCAAGAGCCCTATATGGAGCAAAGCGTGACAGGTTCCTATCCCTAAGAAGGTTTTGTTGTGCCTCTTTGCCAAATTAGTCTGCCTTGATTGTAGAGCATATAGAAGGCTCTTTGCTGCAAATCAGACTGTGGGCAGTGTTTCAGGTATCCTGCTTCCAATTTACTTGAGACTTTATAAATAGGATCTGAACATCTTGAAATGTGTCACAAAAATAATTAGCAGTTAAAGCAGTTCGTGAAAAACTGGTGTATATCAATAGACCCGGGTGCTAGAAAGCAATCTGGCTGCTCTATTTTCCACTAATTACAATTCTCAACATAAGAGTCCTCATTATATCCTGTTTCTAAAATAAAACGGTTGGAATTATTTCCTGAACATGAACTCTGTGTAAGGGACATAATGTAGGTTTCATTTTCTAACTTATTAAGTCCAAATAATATGTAGAGTTAGCACCTTTGTCTAGGATTAACTCATGGAGATTTCAAATACTGAAATGGACTATGATTTAAATATGATGCTTTGCTAATAAGGCAGGTCAGTTTATTGAGATTAGAGAAAGTTTCAGGAAAAAAGACTGAATTTTTCTGTTCTTTCTCTTCATATTTGGCACTCTCTCTGCTAAACAACCATCATGATAGCAGCACACAGTGATTAATCAGTGACAAAAATATTTCCTTTACTCAGCTAATTGATGGCCAGATTATCAAAAATAATTGTTTTGGGTTAGTCTTTTAGTGTTCCCTAGCTGAGTTCTAGAAGGAGAGTATTCCCCAACTGCGTGGCCAAAATAAAGAAAATTTGTCAGATCCAAAAAAGTCAAATTGTTTGGTGAATGATGATATAAATCTGAAGCAGATCTGAAGTTAGGGGTAGTTTAGTGTTCTTTATGTCAAAATAATACTTTAAACTGATATCATTGCAAAAGGTTTATATAAATACATACAAATGTGTACTAATTTTTAGAATATTATTTTCTGTATATATTGTTAAAATAAAATTCAATTATTTAAAACAAAATTTAAATATTTTAAGGAAGCGTTTATCAGATTTCCTCTGTAGTGACCTGGACTTCAAACAGTTAGTCCAAAAAAAAAAAAAAGTTCTCAGAACTCTAATTAATGCATTTTGTTAGAAATATTAAAATTTCAACTTCAACAATTCTAATGAGCGCTCTTATTTGCAAATGCAATATTTATATAATGTAGACCAAGATTCTGGTTTTCACAATAATAATTCTTTCAGTGTGTGTGTAATATATTGTACTGTTTTTAAGATAATAATTATAACACTAGTGTGTGTTTTAATTATTTGCAGATAAACCGCTTCAATAAGGTAGAAAATCGAGCAATTTTTATAACTGACAGGCATCTTTATAAGATGGACCCTGTAAAGCACTACAAAGTGATGAAAACTATCCCATTGTATAATGTAAGTATTACTCTGTTAACTTCCGGAATATTTTCTTTGGGATTTATTTTTTATGCATTGTTACTTGCTAAAAAAATATATTGTGGTTATATAATAAGAAAGTTTCTATTTGTTGTACTGTTTACTTGCTATAATTTCCAATGGTTGAAAATTTCAGCATGGTTTAATAGAATATGATCATTTTAAAATAACAGTGGCAATCCCAACCAGAGATATAAATCTTGAAACCCTTATCCAAATTTTGCTTTTAGCTATTGTACCTATTCATGCTTTATGAACTCCATACTTCTCAGTGTAATCATATAGTATCTGCTGACCTTCCCCTCCCATTTCCCGTTATCATTGCAATCCTTTATTCTGTATTGCTATATTACTTAGCTTTCCTGCTGTATGTCCACACAATTGCTTAGTGCAAAATGGGTTATCCCAAGTTAAAAGGTCAGAATTTTTTTTTAAAGCAAGAACAGAACATTTGTAAGCCCTTCTCCTTCGTCTCACTAATAATCCTCTCAGGAGCTGATTGGATGCCCTAGGCTGGGAAATACATTTCTCCTATTATAATTTATTGTTGAAGTTTGTTTGTTTTAGGAATGACTTGTCTTGAATAGCAATTAAAATATGCCAAATCATATTAAAATAGCTTGGTCTTTTGACACTGTTAAGAGTAAAAGTGCTAAGTACCGGTAGCTGTAAGAGAAGGAAGGAAAGAAGGAAGGAGGGAGGGAGGCAGGCAGGCAGGGAGGGAGGGAGGGAGGGGGAGAGAGAGAGATTTATAAGAGTATAAGAGAGAGTATAAGATTTCTCTTGAAGATGCAGATAGAAAAACTTATTTCAGTTGCTGTGAGAAACTTCCTAAGCACTTATCTTCCACTTAATTATGGCTTAGAGAGGACCAAGAGGGAAGTGGTTTTCTATATACTATATTAACAAGCATTCTTACAGTGAAAAGTTTAATAAAATCATCTTATATAGTGACTTTTCAAAATTAAACAGACTTTTTTTTCTTTAGCATATGTTCATTCCTTTAAGGCAGATGTTGTGTCCATCAAGCATACTTCCAACCAATTTATGATTAATTTAGTTTATGTACTGTCCTTCCTATCTAACAATAAGCTTAACTTCTCCCAAAGAAATCTGGAATTTAAATGTAATGAGAACAATTTTGAATTCTAAGGGAAGAAATGAAGGCATTTAAAATATTTAGAATTGCATTTTTAAGCTTCATCTTGAAGCTTAAAATCTCCAATGCTGGCATCAGTTTTACTAATGTATAAGAATGCATATAATAACAGATCCAGGTATAACTTGAATAAAAAGCAACTGAGAGGAACAAATGAAATGAAATGATTAACATATTCAAATAGAATCCCTTTTTTTCTTCCTCAGTTGGTCATGGGAATGTTTTCAACAATGGTTGCTATGTGCTCAGTGATATAGCTAGTCTAGTCCTTTGGCATCAATGGGGCACATATAGCAACACATTCAGCGACACTCACCATCAGCATGCTGGCCCTAAGTGGGTGATTTTGCCCAGTGGAGTGTTTTTTTCTGTTCTTATTATATTAAAATACTTTTTTTAAAAAATAAACCACCAGCCTCAAGATTTTAAATTGCTATTCAGTTAAAAAACATCAAGCCAGTTATGTTTATTTTTTTATCCTATTTCATAATATAAGTAGTTAATATATTGTTTATAGTTTTTATTTTTCTGGAGAAGCCCTAGAAATTAGATTCCTTAGAAATTTTGTGGAGAGAATAATATTCAATTATTGATGTTAATTTCTTCCTCTTATACGTATCGTTATTAATTTTATATAATACACAGTGTCTGTACTGAAACCAGGCTTGTTGAGCTTCATTTGTCTATCAACCCATGTCCACCATTGTGGTTTCTAAAGCTTGCTTGTCAACATCGCAATATCCCCATGGAACCTGTTGCCATAGCAGGCATCAGCTGATGTCTGGTTCTCCTGCAACTTGTTTTCTAGCTTAGGAAGCTATACATATCACTTCTAACCTTTTAAAAAAAAGGATATCACCAAGTAGAAATATTTACTTGGCATCTTTGCCATCTAGAAGTAGAAATAATTATTTTTTGGATGAGAACAATGATGTTGTTGCAGGAAAAAAATTCAAAAATGGAGGAAATTTTTGAAATTTGGAAGAAATATGTTCACTTTATATTTAGCAAGGTTATGCTGTATTTCAAGGATTTCATTTGTTAATTTATAATTTACTGATTTTACTAAAAAGAAAAGTTGTACATAGTATTACTATTGCTTCAGACAATTTTTGTTAAAATGAGCCAGGATCAATTACTGCAGTCAACTTGTTATATTAAGAATGTGGATTAATGTAAGGTATATCACAAAGCAATTGTCCAGTTGCTTCAGTGTGTCCTCCTATTAGGACAAACCACCATTATTCATGTCATTCCCCAACTATTAGATTACATTTAAATCAATTCTTTATTTCATGCCAACAACATGTACGTTATTGATTATAAAATTCCCAGGCTTGTGTTACATAAATGACCTTTCTTTTTTAAAAATTACTGACCGAGACTGCATTTACATGTCATGTTAAGCCAGAATTCTCCAATAATCTTATCTCATTGTGAGACGATATAGCCTAAATCAGGGGTGTCAAACTGCCGGCCTGCGGGTCGGATGCATCACGCGGAAGCCACGCCCACCCCATTGCCAGCAATGGCAAAACAGTCCCAATACGTCACGTGATGTTGCGAGTTTGACATGTCTGGAACTGAGAATTCCTTTAACTGAATATGAAATATTGGTGAACCTTATAAATGAGATGCTTAATAATGCAGTATACCTGCTTGAACAGGTAGGCTTTAAACTGGATTAATGTAGTATCATTTCTACCTGTAAGTATTGCTATTTTAGGTTCTGCTATAACACCAGCTTTCTATTCCACAGAACATGACTCAGTCTTAATTTTCCCATCCAGAGACAGATAGTTCTAAAAGACTAAACTGGCTTTTTTTTGTGTGCTTCAATAGAAGCTAATTATGAAATTTGACATTTCTTTACATACTTTAAGAAATTAATGGCCTGGATAATGTAAATATAGTGGAACATTCTAGTCTATGTACGTATACTTTTGTCATTTTTTTAACATTGAAGCTGTTGGAGAATGTTGAATAGCAGTAGAGATAATTGTCACTCAGCATCCACTTATTCATGGACTGGGGACGGTAAGGGCAATGACAAAGTGACATGGGAAAATTGATATTGTTGAGACATGATTGTTCCATGGTTAATTATAAGTGGGAATCTGATCTAAGAAAGTCGTTGTATAATAGATTGTCTTGAGAGGCAACAAATACTCTAAAAATTCTTGCCTTTAGTCTATAAAGTATATTCTACAGCATAAAACATTGCTAGCTTTAACATTCTTATTTCATGCAGCTAACAGGACTGAGTGTCTCTAATGGAAAGGATCAGCTTGTGGTTTTCCACACAAAAGACAACAAAGATCTAATTGTTTGCCTTGTCAGTATGCATTCACTTAATGAGAACAGAATTGGGGAGCTGGTTGGAGTCGTGGCAAATCACTTCAAAAGGTAAGACGAATATGCATCTCTGAATCTGAAACAAATATGAAAGTAAAAATTAAGCCAATTGATGATATAGGTAGCCCTTGATTTACAACTATTCATTTAGCAACTGTGAAAAGTTACAATGGTGCTGAAAAAAGTCCATTCCTTGCATTAATGACTCATCATCCCCATGGTCACATTATTGCAATTCAAGCACTTAGCAACCAGCTCACATTTACGACCAGTTGCAGTGTTCTGCAGTCACATGATCAGGATTTGCAATTTTTTTTTGCCAAAAAAAAAAAGCCATTTGGAAGAATGGTTTGTACTTACAATCTCAGTGTTCACTTAATGATCATTGTTGAAATGGTTGTACAATTGGTCTTTGACTTATGACTGCAATGACTTACAATGAAAATTCTGGTCTTAATTCTTGTCATAAGTTGAGGATTTCCTATAGCCTTTTTTCCGTCCTCTATCTATAATTCGATTGTTGAAATTTCCTGTCTTCTTTCTTTTCCTAATTTGAAAAAATTCCAACTTTGATCCTGCTAATTTGGTTTGTTTTGGCACTGTTATATATACTGTTATTTTTTTCATTTCAACCATTGACAAAAAGCGGATCTAGGTGGCATGTATTTTTGTAAAACAATGCAAAAGGAACCGATAAACATGACTGCTAATAACTGTCCTGCATCAAGTCTATTTCTTTTGCAAGAAGCAATGTGTTCTGCTGTGCTGTACTATATTCTCAATAGATTTTATTAATTAGAACTTCCATTTCCTGTTCACACCCACCCGTTACGTGTATTATTTGAAAAGTGTTCAGCTTCTATTTCACAGTTCCTTCCCCTCCTCATCTTAACAAAAACTGACATTGCAGCAGTAATTTGTCTATTTCTTTTGCACTTTAGATTTTTACTTATGTCTGTTTAAAGTACAGATTTAAAATATGATACCTTAGGTTACTAATAGCTACCATATTCTTCATATCTTTTTTAAAAAGCAAGTTTTGGCATTTTGATTGTAATTCTTCTTGTTTTGGAGCACTTTAATTTTCCTGATCCTATGAAACATTTTAGTTCCTTATGGAAGATTGGCATTCTCATGGATATACAGTGCTGTGAACTATCAACCCATTTGCTTGGCCCTGACAGAATCTGGTCTAAATGGAAACAAAGGTTCATCAATATTATTATCTAAATCAACTTCAGCAAAGAATCATCACGTACATAGGGGGCTTGGTTTTGAGGTCTTTTACCCATATTAAGTATTGTGTAAAAAAAAAAATCATCAGCTTCATAGAAAGCATTTGCCCTTCGCTTCTATAACTTTTTGCTAATCTTGCATTAGAATAGCCGCTTTGATGTAATGGTAAAGGTCAAAAGAATGGGACTGATTGCTAAAAGGAAGATAATATGGAATCAAACACTAGATATTTTTTTTCTTGTCTGAGTTAAATTTTAATTGTTAAATTAAATAAAATTAATAATTGGAAATAAATTTTATTTCTAGAATTAATGCATTCATTTTTTTTTATATGGTAGTTATTTAGAACCTAGGAAAGAAAGGAAAGCCTAGGGTGAATAGACAGGAATTGATTACTAAAATGCAGATTATAAATGGGGAAATTAAGCTACGTTCCTGAATCTTATACTCCAGTTCTTTTCTTAACTCTAACCACCACTGTTCATTCTCACACATACACATATACAGGTAGTCCTTTACTTATGACAGGTTACTTAATGACCATTCTAAGTTACAGTGGACCTCTGAAAAACTGCTTATGACTCAGTTTCAAAGTTACAGCAGCTGTAGCATTCCTGTGGCTACATGAACAAAATCCAGGCAGATTTGCTTCTTTCAATCTACCGTAGGGATGCTGCAGCAGCCCCGCCGCCTAATTCCTCCCCATCCTGCCCCACCAGATTCCACACTCCTCTACATCCCCCCCCCACCCTGAATCACTTACTTTCTGTGGATGTTCAGGCTTTTCTACCTCTCAGAATCTCTAGACTCTGTGGCTTTGTTTTGGAAGCGGGTGCCATTTTCGGAGCACCTGCAATTAATTAATACTTAACATCCACACTAGGGATAGCAGAGATGACAGCTGTAAAATGAGGTGGTCATGTGGGTGCCTTACTTAAAGACCATCATGACTTGCAACCATAATGGGCAGGCTTCATTAAAGAGCCGAGGTGGCGCAGCAGTTAGAGTGCAGTACTGCAGGCCACTTTAGCTGACTGTGTTCAGCAGGTCAGCGGTTCAAATCTCACCGGCTCAAGGTTGACTCAGCCTTCCATCCTTCCGAGGTAGGTAAAATGAGGACCCAGATTGTTGGGGGCAATGTAAATAGATATAGATATAGATATAGATATATAAAATACAAACAAACAGAAGGAGCACCCATGGGATCACCCCTCTCACCTGTCATTGCCAACCTCTACATGGAACACTTTGAAACCCAAGCTCTAGAAAAATCTGATCACAAACCCAAACTCTGGCTCAGATACGTAGACGACACCTTCATAATCGGGCCACATGGGAAAGAAAAACTGGACAACTTCCTCACACACCTCAACAGCCTACACCCCAAAATACAGTTCACCATGGAAACAGAAACTAACAACCAACTTCCCTTCCTGGATGTCTTAGTCTACAAGAAATCCAATGGCTCCCTAGGACACACCATCTAACAGAAGAAAACACACACAAACCGCTATCTGCACGCTCTCTCACACCACCACCCAGCACAGATCAACTCTGTAGCCAAGACCCTCATCTCCAGAACAAAACGCTTAGCTGACGAACAACACCTAAAACCCGAACTACACACCCTCACCAATGTACTAACATCCAATGGATTCCATAGAAATAAGATTACAAACCTAATCAAAAAAGAAACCCCCACCAAAATCCAAGACAAAGAACAAGAAAACGGCAAAGCCCTCCTCCCATACATAAAAGGCATCACAGACAGAATCAGTAAGATCCTCCATAAACACAACATCAAAACAGCATTCTGCACAAACAGAAAAATATCCACCATCCTTAGAAACCCCAAAGATAAAATTGAATTAGAAAAGCAAGGAGTATACGAAATCCCATGCACCACTTGTCCCACCACATACATCGGACAAACCAACAGAAGAATAAGGGCACGCATTGAAGAACATAAGAACTCAATCAAAAAAGAGGAACCAACATCTTCCCTGGTCCAACACCTTAAAGCTACAGGACATGAAATTGACTTTAAAAATACCAGAACCATTGCCAAAAGTGAACAATTTAATAACAGAATAATCAGAGAAGCCATCGAGATAGAAAAACGCCCACACAGCATGAACAAGTGAGATGATACCTCCCGCCTACCAGCCATTTGGAAACCCGCCCTTATTGACAAACGACTCCCTAAAACAAAAAATGATACCAGACCCACACTCACAAAAACCACACAGGATGTCACCACCAAACATCCACGCAAAAAACAAACCCAAAGCCACACTGACTATGAGGCACGACCACAAACCAGAAGCCAGACCACAGCTGCATCATTAGCCACTTTAAACCACCCCAATCCATACATGAAGCAAACTGACACCCTCCATGAAGAGGAAGCACGACCACGAACGCGAAGCCAAGGAATGGCAGGGCAGCCCAAAATCTTGAATCGCTCTGCAACTCAGACTAACCTGAGCACAACCAAACAGAACACTCCCCCAGCCAATCAGAGCACAGCCAACCCCCCAGCCAATCAGAGCACAGCCAACCCCCCAGCCAATCAGAGCACAGCCACGCCCCTAACAAATCAGAACACACCTCCACCCAATCAGAACACAGCCAAGCTCCCACCCAATCAGTTCATACCCCCACTGGCAGTTAAAAGGAAGAAACAGCTAAGACCACACATTGCTGCTCGAGCACGAAGCTGAAAGCACCAGCCTGAAGATGACGAATGGGACTTCGTCGAAACGTCGCCAAGACACTTCCAATTTTACGTGGGAGAAAACCCGAACAACCAAAGACCTACATACAAATACCCGCGAAAACCTCAGAAAACAAATATATATATATATATATATATATATATATATATATATATATATATATATATATATACATACATACATACATACATACATACATACATACATACATACATACATACATACATTTCTTACTGGTGTACACCGCTTAGAGAGTGCTTGCACTTAAAGCGGTATATAAGTCTCATAAATAAATAAGAGATATGTATAAAGAGAAGGTGAATAAAGTACAGGTAGTCCTTGACTTACAACAGTTATTTAAGTGACTGTTCAAAGTTATGACAGCATTGAAAAAAGTGACTAATGTGATCCACTTTTGTGACCTTGTATCAAGTAAAGTCAATGGGGGAAGCCAGATTCACTTAACAACCATGTTATTAACTTAACAACTGCAGTGGTTCATTTAACAACTGTGGCAAGAAAGTTCGTGAAATGGGGCAAAATGTACACAACAAATGTCTTACTTAGCAACATAAATTTTGGGTTCGATTGTGGTCATAACTCGAGAACTACCTGTAGTACTATAATATATTTTCCTACTTTCTCCCCACTTCATTTCAGTATAAGATATAGAGTTATTTGTAAAAATAATAAAACAAAACAAATTTAAATCTGAGATCTTGTTTTGTTTCCCCCTAGCCCTGCTGCCTAGTTGATTGCTTATAGGAAATAATGATAATATGCTGATTACTGCATTCATAAGTTTTTCTCTGTGCCAGAATACAGTACTGCATGATTTTTTAAAAAAAGTACTCATACATATAACCACCACTACCCCGCGCTAGTCTCAATATTATATCTCAATATCTCTAAGCAATATTATACGAAGTACAGAAAATGAGTAAAAAATAGTAAATCAAAGAAATCAAATACAAGAAAAAAAGAAAAAAAAGAAAACATAATTAAATATGGCTTATATTAGCACAGTTCTTGGTACTTCTTCATAATTTCTGCCTTTGCATCTGAATAGTACAGTAT